AGATTCTAACGTATTCACTGGTTGGTGGTCCATAATTATTAGGACTGTCTGATGTGAATGGAACTTGTTGTGAGAAACTTGGTTGTGTCGTTGGTGTCTCCAATGGTGTTTGTTCAGCTTGGTTTAATGTGTCATCAATGTCATTGGTGTGTACAATCTGTACCTTGTCTGGTGGAATGGCGGTGCCTCTGAATTAATATTTTGGGTACAAATGTAAGGCGTGATCATTTGAGGACTGTAGAGGTGAGGTGAATAACTGTTGTGCAGTTTCGTCCTCCATTGCTTTCTCCAAGGCGTATGCAGTTGCCTTTGCAATTGCCACTTTCTTTTTAGCTTCCAGTATTCTTATGTTAGCTTTAAAGTCAGCTTATTGTACAGCCTGCGCTGCTTCCTGTTTTGCTATGTTTTTTTCAAATTCAACTTCCTCTGCTGCTGTAGTGGCTTCAGCAAGGGCATGTGCTCTAGCAGTTCTAAGTTTCGATGATGTTCTGGATGTATAAGAACCAGAGACCGACAGTGAGCCTTTGGATTCAGGTTTGATGGTTGGAGTCCAAGCACTCTGTCTGATTATATTTTCTTCCAACTCTGAATCAATGATCTGTTTGTTTCTGAGGAATTTTGACTCCATTTATGATGCATCATCTTTTGTCTCATCTGATTTGTCAAGAGAGTACAGTCTCATCACTTCTCTGAATGCAGTATCATATTGATCAGTGAGTTTTCTGATTTCATTTTTGTCAACTGGGACTACTGATAATTGTGCACTGGACAATGTCGTTTTTATCTTTGACCAGATTGTTGTCATCTGTTTCTCTGCATCAGTTATTGCATTGATGAGGGCTTTAGCAGTCATGGTTCTCTGCCTTTGAGGGCGCTCTTTTCGTGTGTCAACACCCTTATCATCGTTTTCTGTCACATTGGATTCAAGATCATAATATTCAGTGCTTTTAGGTAACCCATGGTCTACTTCATAATGTGCCATGTTGGTTCAATAGTATTCACATTCAAGTGGAGGTTGTTGTTTGAGATTCTAATTTTCTATCTACCAACCTGTATCTGGATATTTTCAGACGATTTTCACTGTTCCGGGGTCTATCTATCTATACCCGTACTGTGTCAACCACTTCTCGAAATAACCACCCTCAAGTGCGTTAGAATAGGTATGGTTTAATCAACAAGCGGTGAAATTACAAAACGAAAGTGTAAAAAGTACACTGTCAATAAAACATGGCGACCTGCATATATTTGTACAGCGTAAATGTAAACAATTGAAATACATTGAAAACGACAATAAATTCGATATAAATTCAAAAATAACTAGTCCTAGAGATGGTTGAATCATCAAATAAACATCTAGAATAAAAATAAACTTACATCGCTGAGTCTACAATGCGACAGGTTGACAATATGTGTTGAAATCTGCTTGTCGTCTGAAATTTTCCTAAGTAGTATGACCTCTGACCCTAGCTAAAGCAAAAGAACTGAGGGCGCTATAACGAAATCGAGAAACTAGTGTACAGCACAGAGATAATGCCTGTTTTATGAAAGTGACGTTAATCGTCCACAACAATGGCTATTGCATCACGACAACTTGCAAAAATCCATCATACACTGACACTTGCTGATGTTCAATTGTCTTTATAAAAAAATTTAAATAAAAATATTTACAATACCAGGGAAATGGACGTAAAATCGTTCGGGGTGTCAAAATCTTGCATGAAAACTGTCATGGCGTTGTGTGTGTGAGAAAAAGTCGAAATGGAAGACAGCTATTGTAAATCGAAACAGGTTTCATTCAACTACGAGCATTAGAGACGGGTCCATACAAATTAAAACAAACCCTGACCTCTGGAAATACCTCATTCATAGAGTGCCTTGGTACCAGAGGTTGCCGAGCACGGCCGTACAATGTACTTTGCGACATCGCTACAGATGCATGCTAGCTGACAAGGGGGTTTCTGATTAAGGTAACCAAGATGGCATCGCAGAATGGATGATTTTTTCCGCAGTGTTTAAAAACAGCATCTCGTTGCCGATGTTTCTGTAATTTCTGGGGTACTTTTTGTTTTTAATTAAGGCCACACTGATTTAATTTTATGGATGACATCCTCTGGAGACCCCAAAACTAATGCGAGAGGGCGAAAAAAAAAATCCTGCCAAAAAAAAAAATCCTGCTAAAAGCACAGGACTACGGAGCTGCTATTACGAATTGGACCACAGAACACAATGTATCAAA